TTGTGGCCGATCCTTCATCACATGGGACTTCCACAAGAAGATCCTCATGACACAAACAAAACTTTTCAAACACAATATGATGCATACAAGAAAGCAAATCGAATGTTTCTTGATGTCATAGTACAGAACTATCAAGAAGGAGATATTGTCTGGTGCCATGATTATCATCTCATGTTTCTTCCTAAATATCTCAAAGAATACAACAACAAAATCAAAGTTGGATGGTTTCTCCATTCACCATTTCCTTCCTCTGAGGTCTACAAAACATTGCCCTCTCGATCAGAGCTTCTTCGTTCGATTCTTACAGCTGATCTACTTGGGTAAAATTTAAACTCTAATATTGTCGTACATGGATGGTTACAAGGAATCATGATTTGATTTGGAACAGAACAGTTTATAATTTCTATATGTCTTTTTATTTATTTTTTTGTTTTGCAGTTTCCACACATATGATTTTGTAAAACATTTCATAAGTACATGTACTCGAATTCTTGGAGTTGAAGGAACACATGAAGGAATTGTGGATCAAGGCAGAGTCACTCGAGTAGCTGTTGTATGACTCCACATTCAATTCCTCAGCATCTTAATTGTACATTGTTTATCAATAACTTTATAACACAACATAAATATCTCTTTTTTTCTTTTGGAATTTTCAGTTTCCCATTGGAATAGATCCTGATCGGTTTATAAGAACATGTAAGCTTCCTGAAGCCACACAGCAAATTAATGAGCTTAAAGAGAAGTTTTCTGGCAAAAAGGTAACAAACTGTAATTTGCTTACAAACTTTTTAGTTTCATGCATGCTTAGGTTTTTTTTTTTTTTTTTTTTTTTTATAAAGAGAGAGACCTTTACGTAATACTTGTGGATGATGTTGTTGACAGGTAATATTAGGTGTTGATCGTCTTGATACGATTAAAGGGATTCCACAAAAGTATCTTGCATTTGAGAAGTTTCTCGAAGAAAATCCGAATTGGCGCGATAAAGTAGTGTTAGTCCAAATTGCTGTGCCAACAAGAAATGATGTCCCTGAATGTAAGAACATTTATATTCTGTTGTGCTTTGTAATGTGTATAAAAAAGATTGATCATCAGTTTTATGAGATTGTGTTTCTTATACAGACCGAAAGCTCAAAAAACAAGTTCATGGGCTTGTTGGACGCATCAACGGTCGTTTTGGCTCTGTCTCTTCTCTTCCAATTCATCATCTGGTTTGTTTGCTTTCTCTCTATGTGTAAACTCATGCATGTTTAATATTTCATGAGTTATATACATTCTTTATAGTTTCTTGATAAAGTTTCTCTCTTATTAGGATTGTTCTGTTGACTTCACTTACTTGTGTGCACTGTACGCCACTGCAGGTAATTAATTTATTTTCTTCATTACATGTGATCATGATCGTTGATGTGGTTATATATTTTTTTGTATAGAGAGATGAGTTTACTTCTTTGTTCTTTTTAGATGTAATGCTTGTAACATCTTTGAGAGATGGAATGAATCTTGTTAGTTATGAATTTGTTGCTTGTCAAGAGGCCAAAAAAGGAGTTCTTGTTCTCAGTGAGGTAACAAAATAATATTGTATTAGTTTTGTGCATGTTTAACTGTAAATTTACTTATCATGCTTTAAGGTTATTAATGTTTAAAGTTACTGATCTCTTGCAAATAATGTTGTACAGTTTGCAGGAGCTGGACAGTCTCTTGGTGCTGGGGCTCTTCTAGTAAATCCTTGGGATGTTACAGAAGTTTCTTCTGCCATAGAAGAAGCCCTAACTATGCCAGCCGAAGAAAGAGAAAAAAGACATAGAGCAAATTTTCAGTATGTGAATATTCACTCTGCTAAAAAATGGGGAGATGATTTCATGAGGTAATCAAAAGAGGAAGAAGAAACCTTAAATTTTCTTGGAAACATTAACTCTTTAATTATGCCAAGCTTTTTGTCTATCTCTACGCAGTGTACTCAATGACAATATATCCGAATCCGAGATGCAACTTAGGGAAATCCCACTTGAACTTCCACAACAAGATATGATTCAACGATATTCGCAGTCTAACAATAGGCTGATAATCGTGGTAAATTAAGCTAGCTTGGGAGATTTTCTTAGCAAAAATATGGTCTTTGTTGTTTACTTTAGCTTCAGTTAATAAACTGTCAAACATGTTTTCAGGGTTTCTATGGAACACTCACTGCGCCAATGAGTAGTGAAACTAAGGAAATGGATCTTAAGCTAAACCCAGAGCTAAAAGGAACACTGAGAGCATTATGCAATGATCCAAAAACAACAGTAGTTGTATTGAGTAGAAGTGGAAGAGACATATTAGACAAAGTATGAACGAATATCTTTCTTTTCTTTTCTTTTTTTGACAAGATCAAATTATATCTTTCTTATTCTATTATTTTTGCTAGTTATCACACATTTATATATGTTTATGTTGGTGACTGATGTGGTACTTATCTATTCAGAATTTTGGAAAGTATAATATGTGGCTGGCTGCGGAAAATGGAAGGTTCCTAAAGTATTCTACTGGAGAATGGGTGACAAATATGCCTCAAAACATGAACCTCGATTGGGTTGATGGTGCCAAGGTTAGTAATTAGTTTTCATATATGATCTTTAGTTTATATAGCTTTCATGAAATCTTTATGGGTTAATTATTTTGTATATTGTAGAATGTTTTCAAGTACTTCACTGATCGGACTCCAAGATCTTTCTTTGAAGCAACCGAGACTTCACTTGTATGGAATTACGAATACGCAGGTGATCCTCATCTCATAATATATAGTTTATTACTTTTTCTAGCTAGCAACATAACTTTTTGTTAAACTATACATTTTCTTAACTATTTTTGAAAGATGTTGAATTTGGGAGAGCACAAGCAAGAGACATGTTACAATACTTATGGGCAGGACCAATCTCTAATGCATCAGTTGATGTTGTTCGAGGAAACCATTCTGTTGAAGTCCATGCCGTTGGTGAGACTAAGGTAAATAAATGTTTTTTAATTATTTTTTTTTTTCGTATTCAGATAAGTATGAGCTACAATATGCAAGATTCGATATATATATTGGTGCAGTTTGGTTTTATAAGTTTTCTACGTTCTGTCTTTGTTTCTTAGGAGACAGAAATGGGTCGTATTTTGGGAGAGATAGTGCATAGAAAATCTATGACTACACCGTTTGATTTTGTCTTTTGCATTGGCAACTTCTTGGAGAAGGTAAAAGCTTTACCATACTAATATATACTAATCAGACTTTAGATTTTATCCGTGATCTGCCTTTTTCATACAAATGGGTCGATAAATTTTTCAGGACGAAGACATTTACACATTCTTTGAATCAGAAATCTTGTCGCCCAAGTTATCTCATGAAACAAGGTCCAAGTCTCCTTCAAGCAATCATTCCCTAAAGAAGAAGAAGAAGGTTTCCTTCAACGTTCTTGACCTCAAGAAAGAGAATTACTTCTCTGCAGCTATTGGACAAACTCATACAAAAGCTCGCTACGTCATTCATTCATCCCACGATGTTGTAGATTTGGTCCACAAGCTTGCAGTTGCAGATCCAACAACAAGAATGACAAACTCATTTTCTGATAGCGAAATATATAAGACTCGCAATGCCAACGCAAGTTCAAAAAGCTCGATCAGTTCTTTCAGAAGAAAGGAATTGGAGAACGGAGACACTGGACAAATCGACATGTAGAAAAAGAGAGTTTCAGTTCTTGGAGTACTTAAACCGTTAAATAAAAACCTTAATTACTAGATCTTGAATTTGTAATATTATCAGCAAATAATATATAAATCTAGTAAAAGTATTAGAAATTAAGAATAAATAACCTTCTAAATGTCTTCTATAAAATGCACATAAAAATTATTGTATGTCCAATGATGCAAAGAGTTGTGATCTCAACAAACAAACAAAACTTATGAGATATTCCTAACTGACACTACCATATTAGTATAGTCCAAAAATCATAGAGTATATATTGCAAATAATTCTAAAAGATTTATATATCTTTGGGGGGCGTGAACCGCTTATTACTTCCTTCGAATTATTTTTTTTATGGGTGAGGGTGTGATCATTCATCGTACTTAACGCATTTGCGCAAATAAAACCAAAAGTAGTTTCCATAAATCAAGTGTGGTTTGCCTTAGCTTTATCAGCACTAAAAACAATGCATGTATATGTGGATTTATGCATTTGTAAATTATTATTTCTAACAAACTATATAGACTGAATCAATTTTCTGAAGTGATTTTTGTATATATTTTTTCTTTTCTATCATTTTGGTATGTTTTTAATTAATTTCTTAGTAAAAATTCATCCCATCCTTTTTTTTTAGTTACATGATTTAACACTTCTTTAAGATTTACTTACTAAAAAATCAGAATTATTTTTTTTTTCTTAAAATTATTGTTATATGAACAATAATGTTAATTTGGTTACTAATTATTACTTTCAGATAAGCCACAATATTTCTAATATCATATTATTTCATTAATGTTAATACTTGAGTGAAATTTGAAACTAACTTAAAATTTCATTGATTTTATCTTTATGTATACTTTGATAAGTTGAACTTAAATTAGCTGATTTCTATAATGACAAAAAAAAAAATTAGCTGATTTATATACTGCATGTATATCCAATTATTAATGTTAATACTTGAGTGAATTTTGAAACTAACTTAAACTTTCATTGATTTTATCTTTATGTATACTTTGATAAGTTGAACTAAAATTAGCTGATTATATACTGCATGTATATCCAATTAGTAAATGTACACTTATCAGTCTTTTATATATAGTAATTAGTAAATAACAATTAATTAGTCAATATGCATGTTTTACTTTTTACCAAAAATAAATACAAATATTGAATATACATACATGATGACTAAATTGAGTACCAGTTCAAGCATTATATATAGGATTATACTGTTATACGTACACATATATGCTCAAAAGAAAACAAAAGTAGTTTCCATAAATCAGGCTTTTAGCTATAATTCTACATCGTATTTTTTCCGTCTCTCAAGAAGAAGAAAACCGCCATGGAAGCCAAAGTTGAAACCTCGTGGAGCTCTATTATAGTTCCTTCTGTTCAAGAGATGGTGGATGAGAAGACGATCACGACCGTTCCTCCCAGGTATGTCCGGTATGATGAAGACAAAACTGAAGCCGTCGATGATTCTGGTCTCTCAAACAAGATCCCAATCATCGACATGGAGCGGTTGTGCTCTTTGACCGCCGTGGACTCTGAGGTTGAGAAACTCGACTTCGCATGCAAAGAGTGGGGATTTTTCCAGGCAAAATCTCAAACTTTACACTATATAATATTATTTTACGATATAATCGATGTTCATGCAAGTATGATCATATCTAATATAACTTCGTTTCGTTTGATGAATATATCCTTTCCTGCAAAACAAACCCCTGTTCTTTTTTTTTTATCACCATGCATGTTAAACCTAAAATGGAGCCTAACATAACACTTTCTGATTCAAATTTATCATTTTGGTCATCTGCAGCTTGTAAACCATGGAATAGATTCAAGTTTCTTGGACAAAATAAAGTCAGAGATTCAGGATTTCTTCAACCTTCCCTTGGAAGAAAAAAAAAAGTTTTGGCAGCAACCAAAGGTGATGGAAGGGTTTGGACAAGCTTTTGTGGTTTCAGAAGATCAGAAACTCGACTGGGCAGATATGTTCTTCCTTGTAACGCAACCTGCTCAATACCGCAAGCCTCACTTGTTCCCCAAGCTACCTCTTCCTTTTAGGTTCTGCATGCATCAAAATGTGTTAATCAACATTTATTCCCCAGTAACTCCAAAAGTTATCTCTGATTACATGTTTGGATTAATGTTTTTTCAGAGATACGCTAGAGATGTATTCCACTCAAGTGAAGGATATAGCTAAGATCTTAATAGGGAAAATGGCGGAAGCCCTGCAGATCAAAGCAGAGGAGATTGAAGAGTTATTTGGTGATGATATGACGCAGAGTATGAGGATGAATTACTATCCACCGTGTCCACAACCAAATCAGGTTACCGGTCTGACTCCGCATTCCGATGCTGTTGGACTCACCATACTTTTGCAGGTTAATGAAGTTGACGGTCTCCAAATCAAGAAAAATGGCAAGTGGGTTTTTGTCAAACCTCTACCAAATGCTTTCGTTGTCAATGTTGGAGACATTTTAGAGGTACGCCATATTATATGGAGAGAGCTTTTTTGATGAACTAACCCACTCTTTGTTTACTGATTTGAGTTTGAAGTCTATCATTCTCGACAAACCGTGACAGAGTTAGACCAAATCGCTTTAAATTTTGTTCCATGTTTGAAATTGTAAATATGAATGGGTGTTGTTGGTAATTAATGCAGATCATAACTAACGGGGCGTACCGAAGCATCGAGCATCGGGGAATGGTGAACTCGGAGAAAGAGAGGCTGTCCATTGCAACATTTCATAACACAGGAATGGAAAAAGAAATTGGTCCGGCAAGGTCCCTTGTGCAAAGGCAAGAGGCAGCAAAGTTTCGAAGCCTGAAAACTACAGACTACATGAGTGGCTTGTTCTCCCGTGAACTCAAAGGAAAATCTTATCTTGATGCTATGAGAATCTAAGGAACCAGATATCTTGTTAGCCAAGAAACTCTGTCTTCTAAAACTAGTTACTGTCGTGTGTACACCTACCATAGTACCCTGTTCTAATGTTTTCCCTTGTCTTTCTTTTTTGGTTTTATGTTGAGCAAGTTTCTTCCTTCAATCTTATGGGTTCATATCTGTTAAAAACAAACTCACCAGCTAGTGTTTAGTACTTAATTATGTGTTTGATATCATGAGAGTATGAGACATAAGCTTGTGCGTCATTATCCGCATTTAAACCTAACAAACAGTAATATAAGTTTACATCTTATCCAAGCTTCACTTTCGTCCACTCCACAGTCCACATGCAGTTTGTTTATTTTCTTTGTTATTCTCATCCGCGCTGCTGTTTTTTTTTTTCCCTATAATAGTAGATACTTACTGTTCATAATATCATAAATAAAGGTGTGAATATAAAATTGATTTGTATTAGACACTATCGTATTGTTATATCAAGATGTCTTTTCTTTTACGACCAACTTTTGGGTCATGTGTCTTTTTCTCCAGATTATCACGTGGTATATAGTATTTTTTATTCCCAAGTCCCCCTAGTGTTCAAACTAATCAATAATTTGCCGTATAAATAATCTACCTACCTACCTCTCAGATCAACCAAAAAAAAAGACTAATATCCCAACATTCGTAGTATCCAAATCAAGAAAGATGAGGAATGGGTTCTTGTGAAACCTCTCCCACATGCTTTCATTGTCAATACTGGAGATGTCTTAGCAGTAAACTTATATCAAGTTCGTATGGTAATATAACACTGTAAAAATAGTTTTAAGGTTTTTATTTGGTCTAATGTAGATCATAACGAATGGGACATACCGAAGCATAGAGCATCGACGAGTTGTGAATGCAGAGAAGGAGAGGCTCTCTATTGCGACCTTTCACAATCCGGGAATGTATAAAGAGGTTGGCCCTGCGAAAAGCCTCGTTGAAAGGCAAACAAAATTCAAAAGGCTGACAATGAAAGAGTACATGGATGGCTTGTTTTCTCGCACCCTCGATGGAAAAGCTTATCTGGATGCTTTGAGAATCTAAAGGAAGCAATGACTTGTGGCCCAATAAACCTTTTCATAGATCTATTCGATCGTCGTAATTAGTTTCTACAATAGACAATCGCTATAGTCTTTGCCTTCCGTATCTCTAATTGTTTCACATCTGTTAAAGACAAAAGTTCTCTAGTCAAGAATTCTTCTACGTATTGCTACGTACAATAAGACTAACTGATATCATATATTAGACACTTGTCTGTTTATTAGCATCGTTGAGATCTTGACATAAATTAATATATAGGTGTCTTATTACATTTTCTTATATATATATAGGAGAAGGTGGTGATCTGGATTGCCTAATTGCTTTCTAAGGTGAGTATATATAGGTTTCTCGGTAGAAAGTGGAAAGTCATTGAATGACGTGAGTTTTATTGATGTTTACATTAATTTAAACTTTTTCATTGGGTCAATATAATTTTCGTAATATAATCATTCATCGTCATAGTAAAAATTATAAAAGTCCACTATATATAGTTGTTGAGAAGATGAGAACATTCGTAATAGTTAACCTAGCTAGCTACATATATAGTCTTCATTTGGTACATAGACCTATCAAGTGCGACTAGTAACATATCTCGCTAATTAATTAGTAATTGTTAGAAGATTTGATGGATAAGTACGTAGTAGATTTGCGGAGACTTTAAATGATGATATCCGATCATTTGGTGAATCGATTTAAAAATACAACTCAAAATCTTACAAAATCCATAATCCAATATGTCTCTATCGACAAAGTTAAATATTTGTTGGGTCATATACTGTATTGTCTCATGCATATGTTTTAATTTATGTCGTTACTGAAACCAATTTATGAGATGGCGCCCTAACAAAACATGAATAAAAAAAAAAACATGTGATAGATAATTTGCCTAATTTAAACCAAGTCAGTCACGTAATTCATTTTTTCAACGTTAATTATTGGATTTGTGTCAACCTAATCAATCGTTTACATCTACTGTATAGTACACATACGCTTCTCAAACCATCTATAAAAAGGACAATGTCTTAACATGAGTAGCAATATATATCACACGATTCGTACAAGAAAAAAAAAAAAAAGCCTCCATGGAAGCAAAAGGAGCAGCGCAGTGGAGCTCTATTATAGTTCCTTCCGTTCAAGAGATGGTTAAGGAGAAGACGATCACGACCGTTCCTTCCAGGTATGTCCGGTCTGATGAAGACAAAACTGAAGTAGCTAATGACTCTGGTCTGAATATCGAGATCCCAATCATCGACATGAAGCGTTTATGTTGTCCGACCACCATGGACTCTGAGGTTGAGAAACTCGACTTTGCTTGCAAAGAGTGGGGATTCTTTCAGGTAATTAAGCTCTCCTACGTACACTCCAACTTGAACTCCCTCACTACTTAATCATTCTATAGGTGATTTTCTAAAAAAGTTAAGAATCCTATGATTTTGAATTCCGGGGTTATTTGATTAGTCATCAAATATTTAAATCCTCTTCTTATTGAAAAGCACGAACTTTATCATAGCAAGAAGCTATATCAAAAATTAAGTTGAAATTATTTGTAATTGAAAATGAGTGGGCGGAGGTGGATTATAATTAACAGCTCACATGTAAAAAATAACACCTCAATATAGTTCAGAAACTAGTATTCCCATTTCACAACCACACCACCACAATTTATTTCTCTCTTATCTTAATTAGTCATCTCCCTCAATTAATTTTACTCAACTTCATCTTCCTATACATCTAGAAGACCCCCCCCCCAGCAATAAGAATCTGAACCAAAACTTTCGAAAGGGAAAAAAAACCGAGCCATTGATTGACGACCGATCCTTTACTTATCACCACGGCCACAATTTTCATAGGTTTAAAAGTTCAACTTACAAAGGATATATGGATATGATTAACAGAAACAAACAATTAAAAAAAAGTGAGAAGAGCAGTAACGGCTCATGTTTCCAAACAAAAGTTGTTGTGACGTACGCTCCCCTCGAGTCGATGAAACTTATGACAAGCTCTATCTAGATCAGGTTGAAGAAACTATCAAAACATGCTATACTTGATAGAACTATTAATTTTCAACAGTTTTCATGTTCAAATATATAAGTTCCATTTTTTATTTTATACCACGAAAATTAAATTAAAATTAAAAAAATTTAACAGTGTTAATTGTGCATAAATTATTATAAAATATTTGAAACCCTTTATTTTTAGGAATATTTTTCTGAAATTAGGAACACATCCAAATAAACTCAAATTGTTAGATCAGTATGCCCCACTTACTTTTATTGTTTCTTGACGAGAGATTGTTCCAGAAGAATTGGTTATTATTATTATTATTATTATTATTATTATTATTATTATTATTATTATTATTATTATTATTATTATTATTTAACAACTCCCTATCCATTTTTTGGTTCGGAGAAATTATCCAGATAAAATCGTTTTTTACAAAGAAACCATGTTCTTTTTATCTTATTCTGCCAAACCCAAAATTATGGAGCACAGCCCTTTCCGTTTCAAACTTGATCATTTTGGTTATGTCCTTTATGCATGGTGTTATGTTCAGTTGGTAAACCATGGAATAGATCCGAGTTTCTTGGACCAAACTAAGTCGGGTATTCAAGATTTCTTCAACCTTCCCATGGAAGAAAAGAAGAAGTTCTGGCAGCAACCAAATGAGATGGAAGGTTTCGGACAAGCTTTTGTGGTTTCAGAAGATCAGAAACTCGACTGGGCAGACTTGTTCTACCATACAGTGCAGCCTGTTGAATTACGCAAACCTCACTTGTTCCCCAAGCTACCTCTCCCCTTTAGGTTTTGTTCTAACTCAGCGATTATTTATACTAACTCCAAAAATTATTCTGTACTGTATAAGCATTGGTTTTATGTTTCTCCAGAGACACATTGGAGAAGTATTCTGCTGAAGTGCAGAACGTAGCAAAGATCTTAATAGGGAAAATGGCGAGAGCCCTAGAGATCAAACCTGAGGAAATGGAAAAGTTGTTTAATGATGTTGACTCGATCCAATGCATGAGGATGAATTACTACCCGCCTTGTCCACAACCTGATCAGGTTATCGGTCTAACTCCGCATTCTGATTCGGTCGGACTCACCGTACTGATGCAGATCAATGAAGTTGAAGGTCTCCAAATCAAGAAAGATGGGAAATGGGTTCCTGTTAAACCTCAGCCAAATGCTTTCATTGTCAATATTGGAGACGTCTTAGAGGTAAACTTAGATTAAATGCATACGGTAATATGTCATTGTAAATGGTTCTGAATTCTGATGATGGGTTTTTTTTTGTTGGTTTAATGCAGATCATAACGAATGGGACATACCGAAGCATAGAGCATCGTGGAGTTGTGAATTCAGAGAAAGAGAGGCTCTCTATCGCAACATTTCACAATGTGGGGATGTATAAAGAATTTGGTCCTGCAAAAAGTCTCGTTGAAAGGCAAAAGGTTGCAAAATTCAAAAGACTGACCATGAAAGAATATAATGATGGCTTGTTCTCTCGTACGCTCGACGGAAAAGCTTATCTGGATGCTTTAAGAATCTAAAGAAAGCAATGCCTTGTGGCTCACTACTCTGTTTCTCCTCTGTTTTTCAAAAATTTCTCTATTATATATTTTCATTGTTTTTCTATTTGCTGCATTTCTGTTAAAGACCAAAATCTCCAGTGGAGAATTCTTCTACGTATTGTTACAATAAGACAATAAGCTTGAACGTTTTCGTTATTTAACGTTCCGTGTTGCTCAAATATTTATCTAAAAATAGTGATCACATGATTCACAGACACTCTGTTTATCTTAATGTTTGTGCAAGGGGGGAGCAGATACAATAATGATACGAGATTTTTGGGACGATACGAAACAATTTTCTTTATTAGCTTTTGCGGAAAATCCGAAGTTACAAAGAAAGAAGTCTCGCTGCGGCAGCTATAGACTATCTGCCGAGCTGAGAACCTAATACGAAACAGAAGTGCAAAATCACGAGAAAGAGAGTCGCGGCGGGAATCTCGGGTTAGGGCGAGTTCGGGCGCGGCACGATTCTCAGTCTGGTGGATAATAACCTCTGGACCGACCCCTGTTCCAAACAGTGGTTTAATGTATTTATAGTGGCACAGAAACCTAGAAGCTCTTTGTGTCTCCTTGGCGAATGACGATTTTACCCCTGCGAAAGTGCTGGGCCTGTTTTGGGTGAAAGGCTTCATTAATTGACACATCTTGTTTTATAGGCCTTCTAATTTGGAAGGGGCAATGCCCATATCCAACACTTAAGTAGAAGTCGACGGTTTATCGCAAAATCTAACTTTTTCTTTCTTTCTTTTTGAGAACTAAATATAGTAAGTTTTGTGTTGTTAGCGTGCGCTGTGAGAAATGACTAGCTCACATGATTCTTTAGATAAGTTAAGAAACCTTGACGTAAGACATACATTGCACTTAACGTATTACCAATCTCTTGCTCTATCTTGTGGTTGTGGATAACAACAAGAGCGTTTACACTTTACAGTATCGGATGTAGAATTTTCTTAAACTTGTAATTTCCCTAAAAAATGGATAAAACAGACAAATACTTTTAAAAAGTAGGGTTAAACGTTATTTTTAGTTGGTGGACAGAAAATACAGAGTTTCCAGTTTCCACAACTTCTAAAAAGATAAAAAAATGTTCGTTGATTTTTTTTCTTTTGTTTTCGATCAATACAGCTCCCACGTAACGCATGTGTGTGTGTTTTTTTTTTTTTTTTTTCCTTTTTTGGTTAAAGGTTAAATTTTTTTTTTCTTTTTCTCCATTTCTCTTTTTCTTTTCTTTTTCTTTGTTTAAAGGCATGTGGGTTTGCTTATATTTACAATACCATAGAAAGCCACATATATAATAAAGGACGTTTTCATATTTTGAGCTCTGCAATGGGTATGGGGAAAAATGTATATGAGTCATGCAGACTCATTAAGAGATTTATGATTCTACTTTCTTGTCTTTCATATTCATTTGTTCGGTCAGACTTTACAGAAACAACAAATATCGATTACGTATCAGCTTTGGGAGATCCCGGGATGAGAAACGACAACTTAAGGGTGGCTATAGAAGCTTGGAACCAATGCAACGAGGTCGGTGAAGAAGCTACAAACATGGGAAGCCCTCGAATGGCAGATTGCTTCGATCTCGATAACTCTAGCTTGCCTGGTAAAATCATAACCTTGTCTTTACTTGCGGGTTTTAGGCCTAAATTGTCAATTTCTGCGTTTGTGCTAACATGAGAAAAAACAAATTAGCTTCAACCTTTGAAAACATTTTTACAGTTTTGCATAAACTTATGGAGACGTTAAAAATTTTGAAACTGTTTTCTTGTGTTCTTGGGACATTTTTTAGTGAAGATAATCCGCAAAGTTGACGAAAAGGACAACAAACTCGGGGTAGGAAATGGAACTTACGGAGGAATGAGCGCTGGAGACAACGCAGATATTTACGCTGCACAGAAGGAGATATACTTAGGAAACAAATGTCAAGTGATGGACAAGCCAAACCCATGGCAGTTTTGGATGATAATGCTAAAGAGCGGTAATATGGATACCTTAGCCGCGATTTGTCCGGAAAACGGGAAAAAGGCAAAACCATTCCCTCCGACCGGGAGGTTTCCATGTTTCGGAAAAGGATGTATGAACATGCCATCGATGCATCATGAGCAGACAAGGTTTGTGGATGAACAAGGCCATATGAGTGGGAGTTTTTATGGGACTTGGGACTTGGACAGCGACCAAAAAGATCCTGTTGGTAACAATTCGTATTATAAAGTGAAATGGGAGAAGAAGATTGGGGGGAACGAGAGTTGGGCTTTTCATCATTTGTTAAAGACTTCGTCCAAGTATCCATGGTTGATGCTTTATCTACGAGCTGATGCTTCTCGAGGTTTTTCTGGTGGTTATCACTACGACACTAGAGGGATGATGAAGATGGTAAGTATCCAATCCTATTTTACTCTGTTTATGAAACGCAAAACGCAGAAACTAACCATTTTCAGCGACACGGAACTACTCTGTTTTCATAATATCTAGAGATTAAAATCGCCGGATTTCAAAGTTAGATTCAAGCTGGAGATTCTAAAAGGTGGTGGTTCAGGGAGCCAGTTCTACCTAATGGACATGGGAAGCTGCTGGAAAAACGACGGCAGAGACTGCGACGGTGACGTCACCACCGACGTCACGAGGTACAGCGAGATGATAATCAACCCGGAGTCGACCGCCGTTTGTAACCGCAACCGTTTAGGCGCTTGTCCGCCGTACCACGCGTTTCCGAACGGGACTAGAGTCCACAGGACTGACAGGGAGAAGTTCCCTTACGAAGCGTATCACTACTACTGCGTTCCGGGAAACGCGCGTTTAGCGGAAACGCCGTACGATGTTTGTGATCCGTACAGTAATCCACAACCGCAGGAGATTCTGCAGATCTTGCCTCATCCGGTGTGGGAACAGTTCGGGTATCCGACAAAGAAAGGACAAGGTTGGATTGGTGATCCAAGAACTTGGGAACTCGATGTCGGAAAACTTTCTCAATCACTCTACTTCTACCAGGATCCAGGGACGAAACCTGTGGAGAGACATTGGTCGTCAATAGATTTGGGAACAGAGATATATTTGAGCCCCAATCACATTGCTGAATGGACTGTAACTGATTTCAACATTGTTATACCAAATACTGCTATTTAAAACTGATGTAATATATCGCTTATAAATTGGCGATTGCTAATTGAAGACCAAACCATTTAGAAACACCAGAAAACAGACTGAAAGCTGAGGTAATTTGGGAACCGACTCGGTTGGTAATTTAAATCTAAAAACCAATTAAATCAAATTTAACCAAACAATTTGATATAATTTTTTAATAAATTTTTAAATATGAACTGAAAGATATTAAAAAGTAGACCTCCAAAAATATTATATTGATTTTTAAATTAAAACGAACTAGATAATATTATCCAAAGAATTTAAGAAGAAGTTGCTTAACTAAATTAAAAATAAACCCAAAAAATATGGAAAAAGAAGAAGCTCAAATCTAAATCAAATTAAAAAATGTTATTTTTTTTTTTTTTTATCAAAGTTTTCTTAATTAAATCGAACTAGATTATATCCAAATAATTAAAGAAGACGCTGATTCAGATTTGAGCTTCTTCTTTAATATTTACAGATTTGAGCTTCTTCTGTAGATAGATCGTTTTGATTAATTAAACCAAAAATAAAGCCAAAAAACTTTAGAGAAGAAAATCAAAACGAGTTACAGATTGTGTAACTGCAGATATAATCCAACGAAAATGAAAAAAAAAGTTAAAAAATAAATTGTAGTCAAGGCCAGTCAATAAATCTTAAGAATCTAAATATATTTTGATTGGCTCGTGCTTAGTTAAGAACTGTGGTCGCCACGCAGTAGATTATTTTTGCTGATCTCCCCTATAGACTGAAAGCACCACCGGAAGACGACGGTACCAACCGTTAATTAACAGCCGTCAAAAGTCCTGACGAAAAATTCCTCAGAGTTTCTTTTCAGTTTCCTTTAAAGCTCTCGATTGAGTTTGTTTAGGTAACGAGAAAAAAGCATAAGAAAGTAAAAGTTTTTCATTTTTTCCTCCTTCTTCTTCTGTGTGTGTTTTCATTTCCTCCTGGGTTTTAAGGGTTTCGCCTGCAAAGTCGAAATCTTTTCTCTTTTTGCGAGGGGTTATAATGGCGGGTGATTGTGCAATTGACACCAAGAAATACTCTCTCTTGGAGGATTTCAATGTCGATGTTGAAGTCCAAAGCCATGATTTTGAGTCTTTCTCTCTTTGTTTCTGGGTTTATCTCTTAGATTCCACCACATACCCTTCTACAATCATCAGACAGGTCAGTTCTCGATCAGCTTTTTTTTGCTCTCTTGTTTCTCAGAAATGTTCCTATGTTGGGTTTGTGTTATAATCCATTTCACATCTTACTTGTTGGAATTGGGGGAAAAGGTTTCAACTTTGAGTTGCTTCTTTGAAATTTTGACTTCCCATTATTTGGCTATTGTTGTTTTATATACCGATGTTGATCGTTGTGATTTTTTCATAGTTTGCTGATTAAGGGTTCCCTGATACAACAGCTTCTGATTAATGTGGTTTTCTTCTCAGGTTCACTCAGACATGAGTGTTAGTGCACCTTTCCTTGTTCTAGATGAAAACAAGAAGATGATGCTTTTGCCACTGACTCTCCTTCATAAGGAAGCTCCTGATCCTGTAAACATTTCGTCTTGGACTGAAGTTCCTAATGTTTCTACAACAGCTGAGTTTCCACTTCAGAAATGGGTTCATGTGGGCTGTGAGGTAATTCTGATATGATCTCGGAATACTCTTCTTAACTCAAACAATATCTCTTTTGTTGGGATTTACTGATTTCTCTAGTTTCCTAGGTTTCTAGAAACTACATGCGCCTTCATATATGTGGAGAGTTTGTAGGAGAGCAAGTCTTGACTTCCTTGATGACCAATGGCACAAATTTAGATTGGGCACGAAAGATATCCTTATTTAGTGTTGGAGGAGATGGTTATAGTGTTCAGGGTTTCATCCACTGTGCAGAAGTCTTGCCTTCTAATGTCCCTGCAAATTATCACTACACAAAGGTAGTAGTTTCTTGTCCTTGCCGTCTCTTCCTTTTCAACAAATGACTTTTGTCCTGTGTTTCTTTATTTCTGTTCATTTCTTTGCCAGGACCCACCGTTATGGTTATCTGTTGATAAGCCATCTACATCAGAGATTGAATCAGATGAAGATGGTGTTTGGACTATTGTTGGCGGAACATTTTGTTCCTTGGATGTTGTCCTAGCCAATGCTATTGGACAGCCTGTCCACAAGGATGTGAAGGTTCATTCTCTCTCTAAATTTTGGCTCTTGTAGTCTTGTTAAGCTCGGGAAGTATTTTGATAGCGAATTGTCCGTGTGATGTTTCAGGTTGTGGCTTCTCTACTGTATGCTGATAGTGGGACGCCTGTTGAAAAGAGGACTGATTCTGAGGCTCCTCTTTTGGTACGCTATGAAGGAGTTGAATTCACAGCTGAAGATAAGCCGTGCAACTTATTGAACGGATGTGCTTCTTTCAAGCTCAAAATATCTCAGGTGGTAATTATAATTTCTAGGCGATTGGAACGGAATTTAATATTCTCTTTAGAATTCTGTGTTTCTGCTGAAAGTCATTGAAGGATTCTTGTTTTGATTTTGTTTTGTAGCTATCTCCCATGAGCGATAAGAGGTTGTTCTGCATCAAATTCGAAATACCAGAAGTGAAGGCTTATTATCCTTTCCTCGAAACTGTTACCAACCAAATCCGTTGCATTTCGAGGAACCGTGATTCGATTACCCCTAAAAGGTCGAACCACATTAATTATTTATTAGATAGAGGAGAAAAAGAACGTGCTTCAAGTAATGGAATATCAGATATTCGACGTAGCTCCTCTATGAAACGGATCAGATTAGGTGAAGAAAAGGTTTCTCAGAGTGAGGTACATAATCCAATTTCTCTGAGTTAAGTTTTGTTTTGCTTCATACCCATAACCCACTTACAGTTATTCTTGCATTGTTGTTTCTCTCGAGTTAGTTTGGGAATGGAAATGGTACCAGTATTCAATGGAAACCTCAGAACCACGTAGAAGAAGATAACTCTTCAACTGATTCCGAAAACACCGAAATAAAACAATCGACTGGTTTCAGGAGATATACAATCCCAGACTCGATGATTTTCAGATACTGCCTTGCTAACTTAATAGAGAGATCTCTTCTTCTGAAGGAAATCACAAACAATTCATCAGATGAAGAAGTCTCGCAATTTGCAGATCAAGTTTCTCTATATTCTGGATGCTCCCACCACGGGTAAAGAAATTAATAAAACTCACACCTGCCTTATATGTATGTAGATTACGAGGGTAAATAGATCGCTAATTTTCCAAAATTTTCAGCTATCAAATCAGAATGGCAAGAAAACTGATAGCAGAAGGAACAAATGCATGGATTCTGATCTCTCGGAACTATCAACATGTTCATTGGGATAATGTGGTAATTGAGATTGAAGAACATTTCATGAGAATAGCTAAATGCAGCAGTAGATCTCTCACTCACCAGGTCTTGCTCTTTCTCTTCACATGTTGCTTGAACTATCACCAAGATGAAAGCCTTGATCTGGTCTTTGTGATTCTGACATGAAATTGTGATCAGGATTTTGAGCTTCTAAGGAGAATATGTGGATGCTATGAGTACATAACTCAAGAGAATTTTGAGAAAATGTGGTGTTGGTTGTTCCCTGTTGCTTCGGCTATATCCAGGGGATTGATCAATGGAATGTGGCGCTCTGTTTCGCCTAAATGGATAGAAGGGTTTGTGACTAAAGAAGAGGCAGAGCGTTCACTTCAGAATCAAGAACCAGGCACTTTCATTCTCAGGTTCCCTGCTTCAAGAAGCTGGCCACATCCTGATGCGGGTTCCTTAGTTGTGACTTATGTCGGTCATGATTTACTTATACATCATAAATTACTCGCAATTGATCACATCTGCGAGTAAGTAAATCTCTCTCTATCTCTCTATGTCTCTCTCTCTCCCGCTCTCTGTCTTGTAACATGTGGTTGTTAGTTCTAGTGAAAGGTATACAGATGCAAAACCGTTGCAAGATATGCTTTTAGCGGAACCTGAGCTATCTCGGCTTGGAAGGTGAGAAAGAGAGAAGAGAAAGATTATAGTTATTATTGTTGAAGCAAAGAGAAATCACATTGGTTTTCATATGGGTTGTTACATTTTTCAGGATCGTAAGAGGCAGTTGAATATCAAACACACTCAACAAGATAGACAGACAAGCATCGGATATATTATTGAGGGTTATACCTTTGCTAGCAATATGTAGAATAATAGGTTATTTTGCTAAATCCTGTTACTGAATACTGATACTAACTTATGTAAAGCTCAGTGATTTAAATTAGTTGAAAACCAAAGATTATTTCTTTTTTTATATGTGCTATTGATTCAGTTTACGACAAGGAAAAAAAAACACAACAAATGGAGTTAGGAGATGACGCCAAGAATAAAAGAAAGGAGTTACGATATTTGCTTCTTCGGCTTAATTTTGTTTTTTGTAATATTTTGTGTGGTTCGTTTATGCACCAAACACTATTACTAGTTACTAGTATAAGTACAGATTGATTATGATTTCGCGTAATTTGATGATTTGTTTTTTCAAAAAGTAGTCCCTAAAACCTAATTATTGTCGGTAAGAAATTGATTAAAAATGGTGAGATCTAGAAATAATGATATTATAATTTGTCTTGAAATCAGAAATAAAAAAAATTGGATATTCTCTAATCTCGAAATATTTGATTCGAGTTGGATGACCGACCAATAGCTGATAAACACGTGGTGACATCTCAGCTTCTGGTTTGATAAAGAAGAAGAGAACTCTTTGTTTTCCCTCTCTATCTCTAATTCTATAATCTCTATTTGCATTGAATTAAAATAAAAAAACGGACAGAACAGAAACGCACAAATCTGAAGTCTCTCTCTCTCTCACTCTCTCTCTCGCGTCCTCCAAAGGTCGAGTTTTTAAGAGAGACAGACTTCTTATGTAGTTTTGTCTCGTCCACCCAAAGAAAATCAACAAAAAAATACATAAGAAAACTCGTTTCGCTTGTAATTTCTTTCTTGTATTTTTTTTCATTTCTCTTTTTTTCCCCCAGAATTTTCCATACACACATCCAATCTCTCTTGTCAGCCAAAAAAGAAAAAAAAAACGTAACTTTGTACTCTCAGTTTCCGACCATAGTGTTTTTGGGATTGCCTAAAAGTTATAGTGGATTTTGTCAGAGAAATGATGATGATGTCATGTCGGAATATAGACTTGGGTACGAGTGTTCTTGATCTGATGCCATGTGGGTGTTCTTGTACTACCTCTTCTCCAACCAGTCGTCAACTCTTGTTTAGGAACTGTTCGAAGAATGTTTGTCGGATTGGTGGCAGAAGCTATGGTGGAAATTTGATGTTACTCCGGCGAGATTTGGGGACTTGCAGAGCTGTTCCTGCTAAACCAAAGGAGAATTATCTGGTCAATGGTAACGCTCTTTTCTTCTTAATTTGTTTTTTTTTTTCAGATTTTTTTCCTTAAAACTGTCTTATTTTGGTAGTGATGATAATCATTAAATTGATTGAGATTCTTTGATTTTGAGAGGTTTGGTTAGTTAAGTAATTGAATGATTGGTCTTCACTTTTTTTTTCTGGTGCATTCTATGTCAATTATTAGCCATTGGTCTTAGACAGAGAGAGTCTCATGCATTAAAGTTTTGAGCTTCTGTTTTTTGTTTCTCTTCTAAACTTTGCTATGGAAGTAGAAATATTTAGCTTTGGTTGAAGCAAACCTTATAAGCTGAAATACTCAAAACAAGACAATTTTTAAAGAAGTCAAAAGCTAACTCTTTTAAGAGTTTTCGTCAGGTTTTGAATATTTTTGACACTGGAGTTTTAATGCTTAATGAGAATTATGATGGTTGTGTAGGCATTGGTCAAGATAAAACAGTGGTGCTCAATCTGAAACCAGAATCACAAAAGCCTATATCTTTGGAAAATCTGTTTGAGGTAGTTGCTGATGATTTGCAGAGGTTGAACGACAATCTCTTATCGGTTAGTACCTTGGCAACATTTCTTTTATGGGTCTCTTGAAAGAGAGTTATGCTTCTAATGTAAACTCTCTTCTTTTGTAGATTGTTGGTGCAGAAAATCCGGTTTTAATATCTGCAGCTGAGCAAATCTTCAGTGCTGGTGGCAAGAGGATGAGACCAGGTTTGGTATTCCTTGTATCACGAGCCACCGCGGAACTAGCTGGCTTAAAGTAATCTATATTACTGCCATTACTATTACTACATCTTTGACCTCTAAATTGCGTATAAGTCTCTAGCACTAAAATTGATGGTTTCTAGCTGATCTTGCTGCAGGGAACTTACAGTCGAACATCGGCGTTTAGGTGAGATCATTGAGATGATTCACACCGCAAGTTTGATACACGATGATGTGTTAGATGAAAGTGATATGCGAAGAGGTTGATAGACAATTTATATTCTTTTGCTCATTATGTACATTTCTCTGCAAAGTTTTTTAAGTTTTCAGTGTGTGTTTGTTAGGAAAAGAAACTGTTCACGAGCTTTTTGGAACAAGAGTAGCTGTATTAGCTGGAGATTTCATGTTTGCTCAAGCATCATGGTACTTGGCGAATCTTGAAAATCTAGAAGTCATTAAGCTCATAAGTCAGGTAAATTCATTTTTGAGATTAGAAAAAACTATAATACTATACAAAGATTTTGGTCTGAATCTTGATTTATGCTTTTCAGGTTATCAAAGATTTCGCTAGCGGTGAGATAAAGCAAGCATCCAGTTTATTTGATTGTGACGTTGAGCTCGATGACTACTTGCTAAAGAGTTACTACAAGACAGCTTCATTAGTAGCTGCAAGCACAAAAGGAGCTGCGATCTTTAGTAAAGTCGAAAGCGAGGTTGCAGAGCAAATGTATCAATTTGGGAAGAATCTTGGTTTATCTTTCCAAGTAGTTGATGACATTTTGGACTTCACTCAGTCCACAGAGCAGCTAGGGAAGCCTGCAGCAAATGACTTAGCCAAAGGTAACATAACCGCGCCAGTGATCTTTGCGCTAGAGAATGAGCCAAGGCTAAGAGAGATCATCGAGTCTGAGTTCTGTGAGCCAGGATCACTTGAGGAAGCGATTGAAATAGTTAGAAATCGCGGTGGGATCAAGAAGGCTCAAGAATTGGCTAAGGAGAAAGCTGAACTTGCGTTAAAGAATCTGAATTGTCTTCCTAGGAGTGGTTTCAGATCGGCACTTGAGGATATGGTGATATTTAATCTTGAAAGGATTGATTAGTTTCAAAAGGCCTTTTACACAGGAAATTGTAACACTTTATTTGTTCAAACTTCAAAACACATAATTTTTTTTACTGTATGTCGTAAAGTAATAATAACATTATTCATGCTTATTTTAGATAATCATGCTTCTTTGATTCTCTTTATATCTCTTTGATTATTTGCCTCTTATGTAAGACTAAAAATTAGCTCAAAACATGTTAGTTAATTATTTTGTCGACTTTTCAACAAATATATGATAAACTAATCTAATTATATTTTTCACGTGACATTTTCTTTTCACATGGAACTTATGACAAGATTTTTCTTTTTAGTTAGGAAGTAAAACGAAAGCCTATATTATTAAATAGGTTTTGCCTTTTGCTGCTACATTATGCAGAAACGAACAAACATTACTTGAGCTGTTTCGATAAGTGTATTACTTGTCTACTCAAAACAAGACTCGTCGCTTTTTTCTCTCTGTAAGGGCCACTAGTTTAAGCAGGCACTGGAATTTATGTTTATGTGCTACTGAGTGAGCACTTGCAAGTTTAAACCCAAAAACAAAAACAAAACAATATTGCAAAGAGCAATTTGAGGAAAATTACAAATATCAAAGAAATATTTTGAAATTTCTAGATTTTTGATTTTGTTTCATATATACAAAAACACCCAAATAAGATTTTCTTGACCGGATTCAAAATGCATTTACCACTACGTAGTAATAGTATACTACACCTTGAAGGTTCTGGTTTGACGATGAACCAAAAAAAAAAAAAAAAGGCAAGGCACCCTTTACTTTTGTCATTCTTCTTCTACCTCCTAAACTTTACGGATGATCAGATGAGCTCCATGTTGTGGGAATGTAGTTGCAGCTGGGAAAGGAGCATGAGTATACGATGGAGAGAGCTCTACACTGAACCTTTGAAGAACCATTGCCAAGAAGAGCTTAGCTTGCAACATTGAAAAGTTTTGACCGATACAAGTTCGAGGGCCTGTGCTAAACGGCAAGAAGGAAAGTCTTCCTTTGGTTGCGCCCGCCACGCCATTGACAAACCTCTCGGGCTTAAACTCTTTCACATCATCTCCCCAAAGATCAGGATCATGGTGCAGTAAGAGCATTGGTATTGTGACTACAACTCCTTCGGGTAAAGAGAATTTTTCTAGCTTCACTTCTTGTTTAGTTACCCGGCATGTGAAGTAAGCTGGTGAATAGAGTCTTAGCACTTCATGGAGGATCATTGTTACCTAATGATAAAAAAAGTCAAACAAGTTGTTAAGTAAACAACCCTTTAACTTGTTGCAATGTGGTATTAATCATCGGTTTTGAAAATGTCTACTTACGACTTTAAGGTGGCTTAACCCTTCGAAATCTGGTTCTTTATCACCGAAGGCCTGAGAGATCTCGTCTCTTGCTTTGTTTTGCCAGTCTTGATGTTGGCTTAAAGCAACAAGTGTCCAAACAAACAATGAAGAGGTCACATTTTGACCAGCTAGATAGAAAGCCTTACAGTCATCTATGAGATCATCAAGACTCAGCCCTGAATCTGGTCCTTGTTCTTTGATCACTTTTGTATTGGAAGCCAACATTGAGAACAACAAGTCGCTGTTCTTGTCGGCACCTCTTCCTCTTTTAATCTCCTCCTCTTTTGTCTCAATCATAACTTTAAACATAGCCCTCATGTCCCTTTCGGTTTCTCTCAACCTCCTGTTGAACTTTGTTGGCAAAAATCTGCAAAATGACGACATATCCAAAAAAAACATGAGAATCCAATCAGCAAAGATTAGCTTTCCACTTTTAAATATTACTTGTTAAAAAAAAAAATATTACTTTGATCCAGGAATGTAGACAGCTCGAATAGCTTGGAGACCAAGATCGATCTGTTCTTGTTGGATTTCGAAGATCTTAATTCCATCTTTGTAGGAATCACCAAAAGAAGCACGAGCAAGCATGCTTCTGGTTAAGTCATGACAGTGAGTCCATGAATCAAGTTCCACGGTTCCTTTTGGCGACGCTAACCTCTCCCATTCTTCTAACATTTCTTTGCAACTCGTGTTAAATGCTGGTAATATGCTCTGTTCATTTTCATAAATATCAGATTTTATTCCCATTTCAAAAATATTAAAACCAATACTTTCACACACATAAATGCTTTATTACTAATGATTTGCTCATAATGTTAAAGATACTGAATGCTCTGCATAATATACGTGACGTTTCTTCACTGATAATGATAAATTCAGAAGTTGTTTTGTCGAAAACAAAAAAAGTAGATATATTTAGAAATTCTGGATTTGATTACACTTTTGTTTTTGTAATGTGTCTTTTTGGCTTTTTCTGTATCTCGCTTTTAGACTTTTGATAGGTGGCGTGGCGTGGATTCTAGTCCCCTTGTGTGGACTTTTTCTCTGTTTCTTCTTTTTTCTTCAAATATCCTTTTCATTTATTTTTATTTTTATATTTCTTTTACTTTTCGCGAAGCGTTTAATTTTTGTTATTTCCCTAATATTTGTTTCTCTTTCTGAGAGATTTATTTTTATTTACGTTATTTAAAATGTTTATCTAAGAAAACAAAAATTTATATTAATTTTAAATTATTGAAATATTATTTTCGGAATTGTTTAAAGACCTCAGCTACCAAACAAACGAAAAGACGTTACTTATCTGACTTTCTTTTTCGAAAAAAGTAAAAGAGAATGAAACTGACCAAAATCTAAAGAATGAGACGAAAATGATGTCCACAAAGTTCACATTATATGTCAGAGTTATAAACAAAACTAATCATAAAAAGAAAAAACAAACGATGATGACTGATGAGGGTTAAAATTAAATGAACAGTGTATGTATGTATACTGGTTGAATTATAATGAGTATTTCATATATTAAGTCACGGAATAAGAGAGAAACACATACCTTCAAATTATCGATACGAAAAGCAGGATTAAGAATGCTTCGGTGTTTGGACCATTGAGGACCTTCGTGGTTGAGAAGACCACTGAGGAAAACATGATTATGTGATCCAATCTTTGGTTTTGGAAAGAGTTCATGCCTTGACATTATCTCTCGCAGTGCCTCTGGATCCATTACTATCACGTTCGGGTACGGTCCGTACCATGTGAAACACTTCTTCCCTATTATATAACCAAATAATATTGATTAATTTAATTATCACACCATTTGTTCTTTTTAATAACCTTACTTAATTTACATATGAAACGAAAAACACAACACACATACAAGAATGCTACATACTAGACATAATTATTTATATATTTTTGATGTGATTCGCTAAGAGTGCTTTTATTCTATTTTATGCGACGACTACAACCAGAAAAAAAAAAAAGATATCAGATTTAGATCTAAATTATGCAAAATGTGTGTGTATTTATTATATATATACACACAACCATGTATATACTCTGAATTTTCTTGAGAATGATAAAAATTCAAGAACAAGTAAGAAGAAGAAGAAGATGACCAAACTCCTAACAAAATTTCTATATTTAATAATTTGTTTTGTGAATTCTAATAACACAAGATTCAAGTGTATTTGGTTCACATATATATATGTAGGATTTGCATTTTCTTGTATGTGAAAATGATAGAAAAGACCTACAAATTATCTTTGATATTTTTGATGTGGAAGTGGAGATGATAGACGACATACCATGTTTGAGAACAGTGTGATGGAGAAAAGGCATGACGCGGGGAAGAAAATCAGCGTGGAGAGGAAGAGGAAGAGAGTGAGCAACTTGATCCATCTGGTTGCTCTCTCTCATGTCTCCCGTCAGAATCCTATAAGAATTCCCAGAGAATCCTTGTTTCTTGAGATACTTCTCCAGCCTCTTTGGCCTTAGCCACACCCAATTCACAGCTCTCCATACCCAATTCAGTATCAAGATCGAAACCCCGATCATCAACACTCTCTTTGCCGTGATTATCTCCATCATCATTCTTTTTACGATCTATGAAGAGAGGAGGAAAGAAAGAAAGAAAGAAAGAAAGAAAGGAGACAAAAGTATAATGATGATGCTTATAATTTCATCAGTTGACTATATATGTTGGAGGCAGCTGTATATAGTCTCTCTATATATATATGCGTGAATAGGGTATATGTATTACTACTCTCTAGGATTAAAAAAAAATGGTGGTATATTATATATAAGAAAAACTTGGTTTATAATAGATATAGAGAGGCTAAAGAATATATAGAGAGAGAGGAGAAGGAGATATATAATGTAATGTAATAAATCGCTGTATCTGCAACTGGCAAATGAATTTATAACAACAAGTTCTTTGGTGTATTTTTCCAAAAATTTAATTTTGTCTTCCTTCCCTTACGCTACATCCATGTGGCTTTATTGCATGAGAGTGTATTTTGTAGTAGTATATATCTATTTATATTTTTCTTCTTATAACTAAAATAATATTCTTTGACGATGCTTCCATAATCACATTATAGTTTTGTTTTGTTTTGTTTAGTTTGCGTCCCCATATATACATATATATAACGTCGTCGTAGATATCGTAATTTGAGAAAGGAAAATTCCCACGTAATTCTCCCCTATTTCTTCTTTATTCCATTACTTTATGTTTTTTTTTCTTTCCCTTCAGTTAATTGACAATTTAAGCTGTATATAATTCGAAATTAAACCTAAAAACATGTTCACTTTAATTTGATTACCTTTATGTTTAACCTTAAAATCTATGAAAGTGAAAACTAATAAAAAGAAATAGTGTCTATATTCCCATTTTATTAGATGTTAGTTTTATTTAACTCGAGCGAGGTTTTGCAAGTTTTTATTCAAAAGTTTAAATGTTTTGTAATCATAATATTTATATGCTAGGTTGAGCTGAACAAAAGTAGAGTAACAAGTTTGATATTAAACAAAAAAAAAACTTATAAAACAGAAGAAATTGGAGGGAGGGAGTAGTAAAAACAAAAAACATGAGTTTGGTAATATGTAAGAAAATAAATAAAAATTTGGAGACAATAAATATGGGAACCAGGTGGCGTTGTTCTTTGGAGACGATGAATAGCAATGTCAACTCTCTTACGAAACGCATGTGATATATATATATATATATAACTATATTCATGATATATATATATATACAATAAGAGATAACGTTTCTTCGTCCA